CCCCCACCCCCCTCAATATTCCCCACTACCACCCTACCCTTTCATAGCATCGGGGCCATTTCCCAGCAGCTGGGGTAGTTTGACCTCTCTTGTGACCCCTTTCGCGTACAGTGTCCGTTACGGTCGCTGACAGTGGATCACGCCGGGGGGCCGCGGGACTCCGGCGGGGAGTCCCCGGGCCCGGCCATACTACACGCCGGTAGCCAGTCGGCTGATCTCTTTACTAGCCTATGATCAACTCGACTCGGAGTTGCCAGTAGTACTAGCCAGTACTACTGGCAACTCGAGTTGATCATGTTCAACGTTCAATTTGCCTTTGCCGGGGGACAGCACTCAGTGTCACCGTCCCGGGGGCGGACTGTTGAAGTGACCGTACTCGGGGTCAGGATTGGGTTTTGCGGCGAGTCGGAGGCGGCCAACTTGGCAATGTAGCGTGTGGGACGAAGAGGGGGCTTTCCTAGCCGTCTTGTAGGTCCTCTCATGTCTGGCCCGATGCTTGGGTTTCACATCCTAGCACACAGTCTATCTCTCATGTGCTCCTCAATTCTGGTTTTGTGTGCATTAAACTCAGTCTTGAGCAAAAACTGTCTTGTTACAACTAAAGTCGATGTCAGTGATATCCGGTGCTCACTGAGTGCGCCGGTGACTTTGGACTAGTACAAGTCTAACAAACTTGTTGGGCCGCCACCGTCCTCCGGCGGTACACGGGCGTCTCAGTTTACTCAACTTGAAGGCCGCGTCAGTGCAGTGGCCGCTGGCCTGCCACTGAGTCGCCGCGGCGGCTCCGAATCAGCGGCGGCGGGCCCCGGGCCTCGGCCACACTCCCACCGTCTATGAAAATTGACTATGGCTATAACTAATGGTATTTATAGTCAAACCTCCGCGGCGATGCTCCTTACGAGGGTGGAAGTGGAGGGGAAGGAGAATGGAGGGGGAGGGAGAGGAGGAGGAGGAGGAGGCCGAGCAAGGGAGAAGGAGACGAGGAGATAGAGAGAGCGGGAGGGTTGGAGAAGAGACGAGGGCAGAGCACATTCGAAAGATGATGGTGAGATTTTTCAATGGCGCCAGCGGATAAATCGGGGTTTATCATTGCGGCGGGAGGGAAGAGGTCAGGATTGGTGCAGAGGAAGGTGCAAACAGAGCGAGTCTATATGGAATAGGAGGAACATAAGGGGTTGAAGTGTGGAACGGTTGGCAAGAGTTATTTCATCGGCAACTTCTGCAATAGATTCCCCCAGCGCGAGTGATTTGGGTGTTTTTTTTTGCGACATGGTAGAACAATTGAAAAATACACTGGCTGCAATGAGAGGAATGATGATATCATGCAGGAGGAAGAAGATTCACAACAGTTTGTTGAAAAGGGTCCAACTTGACCGCAGCCTCTCTTCATCTCCATCACAAGCCACAGGACATGAGTGGGCCCGCTGGGCAGCAGGACTTGACTGAGGTCATGGCGGGTGTTACGACTCAAGTTTCCCTTCCTTGACGACCTGTACAGGAGTCACACAAGCACTCGGGCAAGACGAAATGCACAGCAGCGCTGAAACAGCTCTACTGTGAGGGTTTCTCTTACAGTATCCCCTGCTTCACTGATAGCTTGCTCCAGTGATCCTGTCTGTGGACAACCCGCCCGTGATCAAGCTCGTCAATGCTCTTCATCGGTACGTGCTCGCCTCCTCTGCCCCGCTGAGTGCTTCCCTGCAGCGCGCCTCCAGCACGAGAGGCGATCCTCGCTGCGCTCTCCCGCCGCATGATCCAGATCCACGAGTCGAAGCGCGAATGCCCCGGCATGGACAAGCTGTGCAACTTGGTAGAGGTCTCAGAAGACTGGAGGTGAGGGCGACGCAAGGGCTGGCAGCCTTTGACGTGGAGCAGGAAACTTCTGTTTGAATGGAGCCTTGACCTGATCGTCAAGATCGAGAGCGAGGACGAGGCCAAAGACAGCTATGCGAGGTTGAATCTGCAGGAAAGATATGCAACCCGTGCGTCGCAATCAGTTCCTGTTGCTCTTGCTTCTCTTGTTTCTGCTTGCATGAAAACTCGAGATCAGGTGAGGAGGAGGAGGATGAAGGGGGGAAGGAGGAGGATGAAGGGGAGGAGAAGCCGGATGGGTAGGAGGGGGGCAAAGATGGTAAAGATAGGGATGGGGTAGCAAGGAAAGGAGGAGGACGGCAGGCTGAAATTGTTTTGGTGTTTGCTCTCAGAAATCAGGATTGGTCAGACAACTCGTACCGATGTTGAGGAATGCCAAGAGCTCAGGTGCTGGATTTCCTTCCTTCCTCCTTCTTTTCCCGTTCTCTCCCTGCCTTCCCCCACTCCCATCCCTCCCCCCCCATCATCAACCCTGACCTCTCGCCTTCACCCCTTCTGACATCTGTTGAGATTTGATTCACTTTGTGTTGATCATTCTGTTTCAGGCACGAGCAACGTCGACATGGACGTGTGGAACTTACTGAAACTTGCAAAGTGTGTGACTGGTGAGTCAACAAATCGACAGTTTGCTTTTGGCGCTTTACGCATTCCTCCTCCCTTCTCACCCTGCTCCTCCTTCTCGTTCTCCTTCTCGTTTTCACCCTGCTCCTCCTTCTCGTTCTCCTTCTCGTTTTCCTTCTCCTTCTCGTTCTCCTTCTCCTTCTCCTTCTCCTTCTCCTTCTCCTTCTCCTTCTCCTTCTCCTCCTTCTCCTTCTCCTTCTCCTCCTTATCCTGATCATCATTATCTTTGTCAGGGGATCATGTACATCCTTCGCTGGTAAAAGAAGATGAATTCCACACTGACAAGATCGATTGGCTGCTCGTCTACCTCGGACGCAACCAGCCCCTCCTCATCTTCTCCTGGCTGATTGCTGCTCTCCTGGCCCAGGAGGATGATGACAAGAAGCAGGAGGAGCAGGAGGAGCAGGAGGAGCAGGAGAAGGAGAAGGAGAAGGAGAAGAAGAAGGAGGGAACACGCAGCAGCAGAGCACGATGTGTCCCCAAGGGAGAGTGGTCGTCGAGAGCAGCAGCCAGGGTTATCGACGCGCTCTGCCAGCTCAGGAGGGAGACGGCAGTGGCGGTGCTGCAGCAGGTCTTCGACTATATGAGGACTCCAGCAAAGGACCAGCAGGGCGTCAGCATCCGCCAAGTGCTGCGCCTGGTGATCGAGTGCCCGAGGCTGGTGAAGGAGCTTGTCCCCGAGATGATCGAAAAGGGCATCATCAACAAGAAGATGGTGAAATGTGCTGCTGCTGCTGCTGCTGCTGCTGCTGCTGCTGCTCCCGCTTCTCTGTCCTCCTCTTCCTCCTCCTCCTTGTCCTCCTCCTCGTCTTCGTTGTCCTTCTCCTCTTCCTCCTCTTTGTCATCCCCGTCCTCCAGCTGCCCTTGCTGCTCTTTCTCCTGCTGCTGCTGAACCTCCTCCTCCTCCTCCTCCTCCTTTTCCAACCTGTCAAACCTTCAAAACTCTCTCATATTTTTGTTTATGTTCTCTGCTGTACCTTCGGCGAAGAGGCTCACCTTTCCTCTCTCCCAGATGTGGGAAATCTTCGCTGCTGGAGGAGAACGAATGGAAGCGGAGGGGGAGGGGGAGGAGGAGGAAGTTTTGTCGGTCTCCTCCTATGCGGCCTCCATCTTCTTGCAGCGAGCCGAGCTCATCCGGTCCAAGGACGTCTGCTCGTTCCTCGAGATGTTGACGGCGACAGAGATGTTTAAGAAGAGCGAGGCGAGAGATAAGGCGGAGGATTCCAACAGGACGCAGAGGTCTGCAGACGGGACGAGGAGTGAAAATTTCCAGCCTTCTTCAGCCTTCTTGAAGCTTCTGCACAGGTGAAGCGTGGGTGCGATTTCTGATCTTGATGTTGATGTTGATGATGATGATGATCTTGATGGGGATGATTATGTGGATGCTGATGATTGTGTGGATGCTGCTGCTGATGATGATGGTGATGATTGAGATGGAGATGGAGATATTGATGCTCAAGATTTGGTTTCACTACAATTGTGTTGATAACTGTGTTAGTCACTCACTGTATTCTGTCAGCTACCACGTATGTATCCTCAAGACAGCTGAGGTTGCGATCTCGAGCAGGATGGTGGACGAAGAAATGAGATTCTCATCGGAGCAAGACAAGGAGATCAGCGCCTCTATCCGCGATGGTTGTGCCATCGTCGTCAGATCCTTGAGCTCAAGAGTAAGATCCATGGCCTTGCGGTGCTGCCGGGCGATAGAGCATCCTCTCAAGCATGTCTGGGAGGAGGAGGAGGACCGAGAGCTTGTCACTTCTTGGCTTCAACTCTGCTCCATCCAGGAGGTCAATCTCTCCTCATCTCCTCTCCTTCCTTCCTCTTTTTTTCTTCCACTCGCTCCTCTTCCTTGTCTCCCTTCTTGCTGCTCCAGCTCTTTCTCCTGCTTCTGCTCCAGCTCCCGTTCCTTCTCCTCCTCTCCTCCTCTCCTCCTCTCCTCCTCTCCTCCTCTCCTCCTCTCCTCCTCTCCTCCTCTCCTCCTCTCCTCCTCTCCTCCACAATGATCCTGCTCCTTCTGCTCTTCCTACTTAATTTCCTCCCATCCTTACAGGGGCTCGAGATCGGATCTGTAGCCCTCGCTGTCCTGCTCTGCGGGGAAGGGGATGGAGGAGGAGGAGCAGGATGCGACGAGTTCGGTCAAGAACTTCTTCGTCGTCTGCATGAGACCCTTCGCATCCTCGACCCTCACGTGCTCATCCTGGCGGCCGAATTGATTCTCGTTCCCCCCGAGGCCGGGAAGGAGGAGGAGGCGGAGGAGGAGGAGACGATCTTTGCTGGGAGGCCGTCGCAGAGCTACGAGGATGTGATAGAGGCAACGAACATGGTGTGCGAACTGCTGAGCCTTCAAGATCTGGACAAGGAGGAGGAGGAGGAGGAGGAGAGGAGGAGAGGAGACAAGGAGGACGGTCAAGCTCCTCCTCCTCTCCCCTCCCCACGGGATGGCAGCAAGATGGAGCTGGCGCTGCTCACGCGCATGTGGAACGCAGCGATCGCTCGAGCAGGCAAGCTGCAGGTTACGGCAGATCGGAAGTACCTGGAAGAGGAGGAGGAAGAGGAGGGGAAGAAGGAATTGAAGGAGAAGGAGGAGGGGAAGGAAGAGGCAGGGAGGAATGAGGGAGAGAAATATTCTCGTGCTATGGCGCTGCCAGAGGCAAAATGTATCTCTGCCCTCTGCAGGTGAGATGAGAAGAGAGCAAGGGAGAGGAGGAGGAGGAGGAGGAGGAGGAGGAGGAGGAGGTGGTGGTGGTGGTGGTGGTGGTGATGAGGAGGAGGAGGAGGTGGTGGTGGTTGTTGTGGAGATAGAGAACGTGGTGGTGGTAACAAGGGCTTCCAGGCTGCTGCGGGGTATCATAGCCGAAGTCCTGGCTAGGAGCCAGCACAACCGTCCTCCTGACCTCTGGGTCCTCCTTCTCCGCTTCTCAACCGACTCCTGCTCCCTCCTCGAGGTTCCTTCCAGTCGCTCCTCCGCTTCCTCTCACTCCCCTGGCAGGCGTGCATCAACTGCGAGGAAAAAGCTCTCATGCGCTACTGCTCTCACCAGTGCCAGCAGGGCAAGGAGGAGACACTACCTTCCTCCTCCTCCTCCTCCTCCTCCTCCTGCAGCTCGACCCGAGCAGAGCTCGAGCTGTGGGGACTGGCGGTGGAGGGGATCAAACGTCTGCTGCTAGCTCTGGCGAGGAGGAGCGAGCAGCTGCAGTCCAGCTCGTCGGGGTTCGAGTTCGCGTGCTCCGAGATCTCTTCTTGGCTGATGAGAAAGCTCGTGGAGTGCGGGTGGAGGAGCACGAGGGAGACGGAGGGAGGAGGAGCAGGAGGAGGAGGAGCAGGAGGAAGCATGTTCATGGCAGCAGGCAGGATGGAGGCGGGGAGAAAGTTGCTGGGGCGGGTGGTTGTCGGGATGGAGGGCAGCGAGGGTAGCCTGGTGGAACAGAACAGAAGTCTGTACATCTCGGTGGAGGGGCTAGCGGGAAGGAAGAGGAGGAGGGTCGTGGATGCAGGAAGAGGAGGGGAGAGGACGAGGAAAAGTTGCATGCTCGGTACCGGCCGATCATCGCACTCCGACATGGCGGCTAATGTGGACGGGCCAACCCTGCATATCCTGGACCTGTTGGCGAGCTGCTTCCACAAGTCACCGGTCTACATCACTGATGGTGGGATGATGATGATGATGATGATGATGATGATGATGATGATGATGATGATGATGATGATGATGATGATGATGATGATGATGATGGAGATGGAGATGGAGATGGAGATGG